CGTTAATAATACAAACTTTATTTTTTTCAAGTGTCATCCCGTGTATCGATTTTTTTCATTTTTGCAGAAAATAAAGCCTATTAAAAGGGCATTTGCTGTAAATCTGTGTTTGCATTACACGATATAAGAGATTGTACGATCTTTTTGAATCACTCTGTATAATACTTACCGGAATGACAATTTGTTGCTTGGTATTTTCGAGGAGAATGAGCCTCTGGAGACCGAGGTTTGAGGTGGGGGGCTGGTGGGGTTGCTGGTGATGGAACTGGTTCTGGACAATTTTGGTTTTTCTTCTTTAATTGTTCCTTCTTTTCCTTTAAGCATGAGAATTCGTTGCAGTAATGGGAGGCCAGCTCCTATGGGCTCGTTGGTATCCTCGAGGATTGGTGGAGGACTCTTAACACTGGAAGACGAAGGAGACAGGATCGGAGGTGTGGCGCTTTTTGAACGTTCTTCATTCTCTTGTTTCTCTTTCAGTAATCTGCGAAAATTGTGGTTATACAGGATGGTCCATCTATGCAAAAGTGCAAAATTGTGCTTTATTTAATACTCCTAAAGCATTTTTTAAACATTTTATTGTTCACAAAGGTGAAGTTTAAACAACGAGTGACATTTATTTTATTTATTTAACAAATCGAAAGAATTTTATTTTTAACAGTTCTTTTACTATGAAAAAGAAAGATTACAAAATTTGCAAAAAATGTTGATAAGCGAAATCATAGTTGGCTGATGTTGATGGAATTTAGGATAAGGGCCTAAACGTTGTTTCTAAACAACTTTTCTTAATAACTTTTTGTCGTATTTTCCACATAAAAGACACTTTATCCACCAAAAAATAAGTTTTTTTGAAAACTTCCAAGGCATACTTGATTTTTTAAAACTAAAATTATGTTGAAAAATAGTTTTTAACTAAGTAAATTACGAAAATTTGAATCAAAATTTTTTTATCATTTTCTAGAGTCGTTTCACCTATCCGGGGAAACACTGTCATTATAATAAATATAAATTTTGTCAGTAAAAAGTGTTTTATTAAAAAAGAACGTCGTATTTGACTTGCACATAATGGGTATAATTCCCAATTTACATCTTGATCCTCCTCATACTCTTGAAAAATAGCCTCTATTATATGCTCGTTAAATAATATACTATTTTACCTAATTATTTTTTTACCCTAGAATTCAAATATCAAACAAAAGAGTGGGTCTTTTTTATAATGCTATCTTAATTCGTTCTATAATTACAAAACATCCTGTATAAATCTTATTATTTTCGAAATTTGCGTTAAATAAAACACTACTACAACCAAAAAAATTGTGTTATTTTTCATACAAGAGCAAAATTTTTTTGCAAGAAACAGAATTTCAGAACTTATACAAGGTGTACCAAGTTTTATCTGCAGACCTGTAACACACTTAAAACAAGAAGAAACAATATTTAAGAACCTACAAGGTGTACCAAATTCAACACTCTTAAAACACAGAAAAAAATTATAAAAAGTATGAATTACACTAAAATTATATTCTAATCTTTTTTTTTTTATTTTTTTCTATTCATGTTAAAGAATTTGTACTTTTCTCAACCGTTTCCGTTCAATCTTTAACTGTGGAAAAAATTAAATAATAATAATAAAAAGAAAAAAGTATAAAATACAGTACGATCAAAAAGTCTTTCTATCAAGTAGGTGTACTAGTTGAGCACGTATGTCGCATGGCAGTTCGTATGTTAGTTAGATGTCAAAAAATTATTTAATAAAAATTAAAATATTGATCGAAGCAAATTGAAGTGTTTTTTCACACAAATCGTTCACTATAAGGTTTCTTGTCATAAATTACATAATTTTTTTTTGACATTTCTCATTTGTCATTGGGACATTTTACCTTCTCTGACACACATTCAAAATTTCTACGATTGCTTGATAGAAAGACTTTTTGATCTCACTGTACAGGGTGTTCCGTTTTTATTGTTACAAATTTAAACAGGTGATTCAATTCTAAGACAAAAGTTTCTTTTAAACATGTATCGAAAAATGCTTGGTAAGGGAGCTACACCCCCTGAAAGGGGGCTAATAGGTTTTTGCTAATATTTCAGAAATCATTTAAGATAAAATTACAAAATTTGGTACAGATAATAATCTTTATACACCTAAACGAATTCAAACATGAAATGTCGAAATTTCTAATCAGGGGCGTCCGAAACTGGTGGGGTTTAGGGTAAAAAAATACCCTATCTATTTTGGCTCTAGTTTCTTTAGTTATGCATTGACCACAATGGTGGTCACTTTGAACAACTCCTTTAGATTTAGGCAAATTTATTTAATTAATGTTATTATTGTTACTGTAATGTAATGTTAATTAGTCAAGGTTGGTTAAAAAAATATGAATTTCTTGCTTTTATTATTCTGGTGTGTAACATAAATTTTAAATTAATTTTATTCAAAAACAGTAAGTCGTATCGATACAAGAGAGACTTTTCTGTGATAATAAATAGGGTATTTTTTTACTTTAAACTCCCCCAGTTTCGTACGCTCCTGATTAAAAATTTCGACATATAATAAAGAATTCGTTTAGGTGTATAAAGGTTATCATCTGTACCAAATTTTGTAATTTTATCTTAAATGGTTTCTGAAATATTAGCAAAAACATATTAGCCCCCTTCCAGGGGGTGTAGCTCCCTTACCACGCATTTTTCGATACATGTTTATAGGAAACTTTTGTCTTAGAATTGAATATCCTATCACCTGTTTAAATTTGTAACAATAAAAACGGAACATCCTGTATAGTTGTATTGTTAGACAGGTAATAATAATTTTTAAGTATGCAGTTATTTTTTTCAAAAATTCAAATACCACAAAAACAGTAGGTTTATAATGCTATATTAATTCTTTCCGAAATTACTAAAAACTGTATACATATTTCTTATAATTTTTGAAATATGTGCGAAATTTACATTTTTGCAAAAAATAAAATACGAACTTACAAGGTGTACCAAATTCAAGACTTAAAACACAGAAAAAAAAATATGAAACGTATGAATTACACTAAAATGATATTATAATCTTTTTTTACAATTCTTTTTCTAATCATATTAAAGAATTTGTACTTTTCGCAATCGTGTCTAGTTGAGAAAGTTATTCAATCTTTAACTGTGGAAAAAATTAAATAATAATAATAATCAAAAAAAATGTATAAAAATATTACAGCCATTATTTAAGATTAGGGAAACTACGGTTTTAAACTCGCCTTCGGCTCGTATCGTAAATTTCATCTTGGCGGAAATGGCAAGTTTTCTCACTCGTTAAATAATATACTATAGTGTAACTAGGGGTGTTTCGGAGGTGCGTAAAAGTTTACTTACCTGAGTCTGTGAAGGAGGGGCAATCCGGCCCCTAGTGGAGAAGTGACCGCTTCAACACTCACTTCCTTCTTGTCGTTCTCCTCCTGACTCAAATCATGTGACTTAACTCTCGACATCCTCTTCAACGTGCCTTTGTTGTTATTTGGTGTATGCAAGGGTTGTAGTTCAAGCGATTCATCCGATTTTCGATGAGTTCTCGATTTCTTCAGCGCTTTTCGTAGTTCCTTAGCTTCGTTTTTAATTTTGTCGACGAGACCTTTGGGGTCAGGCACGTGGGGGATTCCATGATGATGATGATGATGATGCTCCTTATGTGGAGGATTCCTCGCCGAGGCTTTAACTTCCATCAGCCTTTTGCGTCCAAGAGCTTGAAGGATTTCTTGCGCTTCTGGATAGTCTTTCATCGCAGCTAAAACATCTTCGCGAGATAAAGAAAAGAGTTCGGAGTAGCCGACCGAACGGACGTCGGCTGTTCGCCTATTGATTCAAAAGGTCAATGGATTGGGGGGCGATTTAGCATCACTTACTTATTGAGACCATCCAGATTCAAAATCCCGATTTCGCCGAAGAAATCGCCCGCTTTCATTGTCGTTAAAACTTTACCATTTTCGCTGATCACTTCGAGGATTCCGTCAGCGATGATGAACATTTCGCGGGCGACTTCGCCCTTGCGACATATCGAATCGCCGGGGGTGAAAATGTAGGCTTTCATTTTGAGTACGAGATCGCGGAGGAACTCGGGTTGGCACTCTTGGAAGATCGTGACCTTTTTTAAAACGCTCAGATTGACGTGGAGGGCGAGTTCGGTTTTGAGCTTGTCGGGGAGGAGGCCTAAGGCTGTGTTGATGTCGCCGCCGCCTTGGATGCGCCCCCTAGACCACGAATAGTCGTACCATCGCAATACGCGACGTTTCATTCCACCGGGGACCTGGACCGAAATAGAGTGCGATCGATTGGGGATGGGGAATTTTGATATACAGGGTGGTCCGATTAAACCCCACATACAAAGTATTGAGAGTTTTAGCAATTATATTTATCTGAAATTTTGTGTGTAGCTATAATCGGTCAGGTCCTACTCAATGAATATGTTTTCGAGATGGTGACACTTCCGGTTTACCGGAAGTGGGTATCAACTTTGTTATTTTAAATGGAAAGGTATGTTTTTTATTGCGTTTTTGGATAACGCAAATGATTTTGAGATAGTTTTCATCAGGCTTCCCTATACTTAAGTTTAATCATTTTTGAAGTATTTATACGTTTTTGATATTTTTTTTTGGATTTACACCTTTCTCTACATAAATCGATAACTCTTCCATTTTTAATTATTTTGAAATCGTATTTAGGGGTTTGAAGTAGAAAGGTTAGATATTTCCTTTCGTGTATTCATAATTGTAACAATACTTAACAAACCCACAAAATTTAAGGTTACGTTTGAGAAATTTCAAATAGCCATAACTCAATTTTTTCAAATAGTAGGCCCAGTTTTTTCTTTACTAAACGAAGGAGAATTTAATTTTGCATCTATGTTTAACGGTTTCCAAGTTATTGTGACTTTCTTTTGATAATACGAAAAATTTATTATGTATTATTCATAGTTGTTATGGAAATTTTTCTCACTGAATAAATGATAAGTTTTTTTTCACAAATGTGTTATTTTTTAGTATATACAAATTAAATTTTTTTTAAATCTTTCAATAATTTTAAATTTTGGAAGTTTTTTAATTATTTTTTCAATTGTGAATGCACCAAAATAAAAATTAAACCTTTCTCTTTCAAATGCCAAAATACGATTTTATAATAGTTAAACATGGCAAGAGAAAGGTTCAATCCAAATCAATCCAAATAATTTAAAAAAGTTTAAAAATCTCAAAAATTGCATGCAATTCATTATAATGAATAGTTTTTCTACTGCCGACACTTAAAAAAATTATAGTAACTCTTAGAAATATCACCTGTCAAAATTTGTTTCAGCTTTTTAGACGACATACATATTTGAAAGTGTTTTTCATCAAGTCGTCTATGGAATTTTTTTACATGTAAATTTTTTTGTGCTGCTATACTCTTTTTGAACCAGAGAGTTCTGTCAACAGTGACAGCTGTCAATTGAAATAAATTAATTAAAGGTTAATTAGATTCAATATACCCTAATAGAATTTTTATTTTACATGGAAATCATACACGACTAGATGACAATCATTTTGAAACACATTGTACATTGTTTCTGAAACGTTTCAAAAACTAAACTAAGGAAATAATCCGTAATGAAATACTTTTCTGGACTCATAATAATTCTTTTCAAAAAATACCCAAAATAAACCAATACTAGTTAAAATATCGTTGTTATATTATAATAAAAAAACTTTAACAGCGACAAAAGTTTAATAGACAGCTTAAAGTTCCTAGTTTAAATTTAATAGAATGAATTTTTGTGTTGACTTCCAAGATTTTTTCAACAGAACTTTTAAAAAATTAGAAATCATATGTCAAAATAAACAAAATGTACTCTAATAACACAAACAAATTTTATCGGTGAAAAATCAGAGAAAAACCAGGAGCAATTTATTGCCTGTGAAGTCAAAAAATGCAACAAGATACTCGTAGTTTATTAAGTATTAAGGACGGTAAGTACGTTTTACGGGTAGAGAGTAATGGTGTTACACTAACTCCCGAGATGCTTATACTATTTTTTGCCCGAACGATTGGTTAATTAATTGATTAATAAAAATATTTAAAAAAATTACACCTTGAAAATGTAAATTTTATCAAAAATTGTAAATCTGGACGACTTTTAGTAATATTGTTGCTTATAGAAAAGTTTTTACTTTCATAATTAATAATTTCACTTAATAAATGTTCATTGTACTTTATTAATTTGTCACGAGCGGTAAGTTGAACTTACCGCCTTGAGATCAAACCTTGTAGTCGGGTAGTCGGGCAAAAAAAGTGTATGCTTCGTTTCATGTGTGGAAAAATAAAAAAGCTATCACGGAAATTACCGAAGAGGTTAAACATTGGCTTTGAAGGATAAAACAATTTTTTTCTACGACTGTTATAAAAAGTGTGTAAAAAAACAGTTATCATTTATTTTACACAACGTGTCATAAATCCAGAACGATTTTTCACACGCTAGTTTCATGAAACAAATAAAAACAAAATCATTTCGTGTTTTTTTGTGTATTTGATACAGTCGTAGAAAAAGTATAGTGTGCAACACGTGTGAAAGCCACTTTTCACACTTTTTGACTTGTGACACGTATGTGAAAACACGAAGAGAACACAGTAGAAGTCGAAATGGAAAAGTATAAAGCAGAGGGAGGAGAATACAGAAGAAATTAAAAAGGAGGGTATATCACAAGTTCGAAAATAGGAAAACTGTGACAATTAAAGTCTACTCTTTCATAATTGCAATTTTTATTTTTGAATTTTGACTTTCAAATTGAAAAAAAGCTTTCTGTTAGCATTTTATAATTCCATTGTCGTTAGTAACATAGGTACTCGTATTCTGGTCTGATTATGATTATAACTTTTGAATAAAAAAATCAGATAAACTGTGAAGTTATAAAAAAGTTATAAAAAGCAACAAAGTTTCAAAATGAATGAATGTTTTGTAAAAAAAGTTTTATCTACAATCATTAAATAATACGTTTGTTATTTACGTAACTATCTGTCATTACGATAAATATAAATTTTGTAAGTGAAAAGTGTTTTATTAAAAAAGATCGTAGATAAAACGTTGTATTTGACTCGCATATAATGGCTATAATTCTCTGAGATAATTTTCATCTTGTTCTTTCTCATACTCTTGAAAAATAGTCTCGGTTATATGCTCGTTAAATAATATACTATTTTACTTAATTATTTTTTAACAGAGAATTTAAATATGAAACAAAATAGTGGGTGTTTCTTTATAATGCTATCTTAATTCTTTCCATAATTACTAAACACCCTGTATATATCATATTATTTTTGAAATTTGTGTTAAATGAAACACTACGACAACAACAAAAAATGTGTTATTTTTTATACATGAACAAAATTTACATTTTTGCAAGAAATAGAGTTTCAGAATTCATACCAAGTACCAAGTTTTATCTGCAGACCTGTAACACGCTTAAACCACGAAAAAAATCTGAACAAATATTTGTATTTTTAAGCAAGTAATAATAATTTAAAAAAAAATTCAATTACCAAAAAAAAAAATAGTGAGTGTTTCAGTTGTACCACATTTTGTAATTTTATCTACAATGAATGAAATACTAAAAAAAAATCCTCCTTTCAGAAAATGTAGCTCCCTTATACAACACTTTTCGATACATGTTCATGGGAAACTTTTAACTTAAAATTGAATATTCTATCAACTGCTCAAATTTGGAACAATAACATCCTGTATAATGCTATAATAATTACTAAATATTCTATTATACCTTAGTTTTAATAATATAATAATATGTGTAAATAAAGCGCTACGATAAGAAAGGTCTTATTTTTCATATAAGAACAAAATTTACATTTTTGCAAGAAACGGAATTTCAGAATTTATACAAAGTGTACCAAATTTTATTCACAGACCACTTTTAAAACATCGAAAAAACTAGGAAAAGTGGGATAAAAATAATCTGAATAAATTTTCGTATTATTATGGACAAGTGATAATATTTTTTTAAGTAGTTATTTTTTCAAAAAATTCAAATATTGAACAAAATAGTATTTTTTTTTTAATAATGGAATCTTAATTCGTTCTATAATTATTTAACACTCTGTATCCAGGGTACGCCAGAACTAGCGCCCCAGAGAAAAATGCCATGTAAGGTAAGGTTCCATGTAAGGTTTATTTTTTTCAAATGATAGGTCAGAATTGTTTTTTTTTTCTTCAGTTTTATATTTTGTTACCTATAGATAGTATGTATTAGGTGTTACCTAGGTTTTGTAGCGCAGAATGCTCTTTTGTTTTATGTTTTTTAATGGAATAAAATATTTTCTTATATAATCACCCGGTATTATTTTTTTTCTCTCGATTTTTGCCATCCCACTCGTCAAGAATATATATATTTTTTAAAAGTGTGTTCGAATTAACCCGCAAAGAGTCCAAACTTGAATTTCCCTCTGAATAAATATGTGTTCAAATTCACCACGCTAACCGAGGTGAATTCGAACATCAAATGAAAATTTAAAAAAAATTTTGGTTGAAAACTGAAACAATGTACATTGCGGAATCAAAAGAAGAAAGTCTAGGCTATCTTAATTAATTTTTTCAGATTTTTATTCGCGATTTAAAAAAATTATTGGAGAAAAAACATGCAAAATGCGTTCAAACCTCGGATTACAGTACATACCAGAAATATGGAAAAAAATATCTATAGAAATTTCAAAGTTATGAGAGTTTAAATTTTGTACTTTGACTCTATTCATTTCTGTTGGAAAAATAATTTTCCATTTTTTTGCTACAGGCTTTTAGAAGAGAAAACAACGAAATTGTAACTCTGTTTGCTGTTATTTGCGGCTTTTAGTGTCAAAATGTTTGTACCTTTACTAAATACTTATAAAAAACATATACAAGATCATTATCCTCTGAAATCAACTGCGAACTTTCAGCGACTTTAATTGTAAAATATAGTTTAATCCTTGTTACTGTGTATCGTTCACCCCAAGGTGACATCAAAAAGTTCCTTGATGTACTAAACGAATTATTTTCACTTATAGACTATAAGAAAAAAAATGTTATAATTGGTGGAGACTTCAATGTTCATTTCAACAAAAGCGGCATTAGTGAGGCATTAGTTTGTGACCTATTTAAAAGTTTTGGTTTCTCTTCTTTAGTTA